CTGGTATCATTCCAGCTCCCAGTCCCACAAAACAAGGACTGGTCCTCTGACAGCTCATCCCCAAGGTATGTCTGTCTCCCTCACCCTCTGTCTTCTGCCCCCTGCCAGCTCTCCCTGGCTCTCTCTCCCTGGGATCTGCCTCAAGTCTGTGCCTCTTTTCTGTCTCCTTGCTTGTCTTTCTTCCTTCAGACCTGTCTGTCTTCTGTTGCTGCCTCTGTTCCGTTTCCCCACAACTTTCTGCACCCCGCTCCTGCTTTACTTGCTCTCTCTGTTTGCTTGCTTTGGTCTCTGCCTCGGCCTTCCCACGTCTTGTTCTGCAGTCCCTGCTGTCTCAGTCTGTCTGTCTCTCTGTCTCTCCCCACTCTTGCTATTTTCCCCATCTTGTCTCTTCAAATTTCCACTTTTCCTTGTGTATCCCTCACAACATCTTCTGTATCCTTAATTAGTCTGACTAATGCCAGACAAGCCAGTGTCAGGCGCGAAGGAGCCATGGAAACAGGGGTGGAGTGGACCAGAGGTGTGGGTCGGAGGGCTCTCCCACAGCTCAAAGCTATTTATAACCTCCTCGGCCTGAGATCCGCCCTTCTCCCTCTTCCACAGGCCTCCTCCCTAGCACTCAATAAATGGCAGCTATGGTTTTGATCACGATTATGAAACAATGATGCTTCTTGGAGCATCCAAATGCCATTCTGTGGGTTTACCCCAGCAAGCCTCATTATTATCCCTCTCCAGAAGTGACCCAAGCTCCAGCACTCCAGCCTGGATAATTTAAGATTTGTGCACTGTTAAATGTTCACATTAACAAACAAACAAACAAACAAACTTGCAAACCAAGGCAGGAAAACAAGCGTAATGATTTATTATGAGACCTAAACCTTCAGAGCACTCTGCGGCCTGGATGTTGTTCCCAGTGCTTCTCGCCTGAGAACTCACTTAACTGCGAGCAACCCCGTGCTGTTAGCATTCCCATTAGGGGTGGAAAACCTTCACCAGGCCTCCAGCTGCCACTTCATGACCATGGTCATGGAAGGCCTGTGCCCTCCCACTCCAGGGTGGAAATAGTCAATAGAGGCAGGGAGCTTCAAAAAGGGCAAAGGAGAGGGCACATTCTTGGCGTGCCAGGCAGGCCCCAAACATGCACTTGTCATCTGTTACCTCTTTCCCAACTCTTCACAACAATAGGGAATAATAGCTAATAACACTATGGCACCAGGTGGCCTCAAGTGTGTGCCAGGCACAGCATTGCTGCTTCATGGCATCAGCTCGTTTTATCTTCTTGGTGAGAATTATTATGATCTGCCATCTTCTAGAGGAAACTGAGGCACAGCTCACAGGGGACAGAGCCACGATTCAGACCCAGGACACCTAGCTCCAGGGTCTAGAAGAAGAAAGGGCTGCTTCTCAGGGTGAGGAGTCCCCACCACAACCTTAGGAAACTAGACTCGGAGCCAAAGCTGAGCCACGTCAGGTGTCTAGGGTGCTGGGAGGCAAGCAAGTTGGACTAGGCCCCATGGAGGAGCCTGGGGCTCAGACCAGATGGGGCCAGGGAAGGGCTGGTTGCTTAGGAGAGGGAGGTGAGGGGGTTCCACAATGGCTGCGAAATTATAGACTTAAGCTGTCAGCAAAACTACAGGCAAGGTCAGGGTCTTTGGTTTGGCAGAAGGAGTGCTGTGGTGTGTGTGTGGGGTCAGGGCAGGTGTAGGTCATTAGGGTTGGGGGGTCCTAGAACAAAGTGGGCACATTTGGTCTGTAACATGAGAGTGGTTTCAAGAACCTTAAAGGACCTAATGCAATGTAATCAGGGCGAGTCCATAAGGGATCTTTGGAATGTATCAGTCCCCAGATTTTATTTGACACAGAGTGTACAAGGACCAGAGAGATCATACAGGCTCATGATTCCATTAGGAAAGTAGTCAGGCGGGGGTGCTTCCCAGAGGACCAATATTCCGGAGGTACGGTGGCCCTAAGACCAGGATCTACAGGGCCTGGTTTCTGGGGGATGCAATTCATCTATGAGGAGCTGAGTCTCCATGCGGCGCCATCAGGCATCCTGGGGCGGAGGGGTCCGTAAGACCTTGTCATCTGTACGGAACACGGTGGATCTACACGAGTCCAAATCCTACCTGAGAAGTGAGGGGTAGTCTACGAGGGCCCAAGATCATACAGGGGACGAGGCGGTGTGCACGGCCATGGATGCTGGGGCGGGCGGGCGTGCAGAGTCAGGGTCTGACACCGGCCGGGGGCCGCGTCCCTCACCTGCTCCAGGTCGGAGAAGCCACCGCAGTCGCCAGAACCAAGCCTCCGCGCGCCGGCTTCGGGCTCCCCCCGCCCCGGCCCCGCCTCTGCCCCTCTAGCCGTCCCAAAGGCTACCTTTGCACCTAGCCGTCCTTCCGCCGACCGCTCTAGCCCGACGCCTACCCGGCTCCAGCGCCGGAGACTCTACTGCTCTGGCCGGCCGCTCTAGCTTTCCACGGCGCCACGCTGGCCCTCTAGGGCCGCTCTGGCCTGTGTTGGAGGGCTGGCGTTTCCGTATCTCGACTGCCCCTGTCACTCTCCTGGACCCCGCCCACTGCTCCCCCCTACCCCGCCCCCGGCCATAGGTAAGACGGGTTCCAGCCAGTGCCACAAGCGCTCAACTGCAGATTTCCGAGCCCCCTACTCCCCCCACCCCTCTGCATCCCGGTTTCAGCCCTCGGGCCTGGGCTCTCACCCTCTTGCTTCCCTAACTGGGGGACCGGTTGAATTCTCAACTGCTCAAACATTAATCACCTCACCCCCGACCTCCACGGACATTCATTCCACTGTGGCTGAAAGCAAAACTGGGTTCGGGCCGCCCTTTGCCTCTGACATGATGTGTAACTGGAAAAGCAGTTACTTCGCTCTTGGCCTCAGTCTTTCCATCTGTACAATGGGGGAACATCTCCAACTCTGCCCCCCTACAATGCATCTCCAAGGAGCTAAGTAAAGATGCAGAAAAAGGGCTTCCCAAAAGACGTTTGCAAATGCGCCCTACAAAGTTTACCACCACCGCTGACCTGGGGTGGTTACTGTGTTTCTTTGCAGGTGGCCTTCAATTATGTGGGTTTGAAGGGCAGGCGCTTAGCAGAAAGCACCTGCCAAGTTCAAATGCCAACTCCACTCGGCCTCAAGAGGTGCGTGGCTTGGTCGGTTGGCGCCACTCCCTGGGCCTCAGTTTTCTCACCCCTACAATGGGAATGATCACCTATCCTCTGCCAGATCGTGGGGAGGCCTTGTCTCTGGCCTCGCACCCCTCGTCCCCACCTACTAGGTACGGAGCGAGCATTAATTGTCCTCTTTGCGCCCTTTGACAGATAGGGAAACTGAGGCCCAAGCAGCGGCGGCCGCGGTCTCCGTGGGACCCAAACGAGGCCCCTTCGCTGCGGGCAGCTCCCCAGGCCCCTCCCGCCGCCTCCCCGCTCCCCCTGGCGGCCGAGGGGAGGGAGGCCGGGCGGGGCCAGGGACAGTGTACCTGGTGTCCGCGCAGGGAGGTGACCGGCGGGGCGCCCGAGGTCGGGCTTGGCGATCCCCGGCCCTGTGTCCCGGCTCCCGCTTCCTGGCTCTGGCGGGGGCAGGAAGTTGGGGCGTTTTTCCGGAGGCCCCCGCCCCGCCGCCCCTCCCCGCTTCCTGCCCGCGCCCCGAGCCCGCCCGGCACCTCCGCTTCCTTCCCCTTCTAGCCGCCAGCCGGGCCCCTCCTTTCCCCGCTGCGCCCGGACCGCAGGCACCCGCCCCTTCCCGATCCCGCCCCGGTCCCGCCCGACCTTCCCCGGCTTTGTCCGTCTGTGCGTCCGCCGGGCGCGGGCTCCATGTTTCTCGGGGCGGCCGGGTGTGCGCCAGCACCCTGTGGCGGCCCCGGGGCCACTGTCGCCCTGCGGGCGGCGCGCAACGTCCTCTGCTGTTTGCAGTCGCTGCGTCCCTGGGCCTCCCCTCCTTTGCCTGTTTCTGTCTGTCTCCAGTTCCCCTTCCGGGGCCCACCCGCCGCTCCCCTTTGTCCCTCTCTCTGTCGCTTTCTCCCTCCGAGGGTCTCCACCTTCCTGCATCTCCATCCCAGTCGTTCCCCGGGGGTCTCAGGTCCTTTTCCCATGGGCCCTGCGTCTGTCTTCCTGCTGGCTCTCTCCCTGGCTGTCTCTCGGGGTCCTGTGTCTCCTCGCCGTGGCCCCCTTCATTTGCTTACTTTCCATGAGCTGTGTGACTCAGCCTCTTCCCACTCTTGGGCACCTCTATCTCTCCCCCTGAGGGCCACAGATTCTCCAACTCCTGTCTCAAGTTCACCGGGAGGTCAGGGGTGCTCTGGCTTAGCCTGGATTCAGTACCAGCTTATCAGTCCACGTGTTTATGGGGCTTACACACATAATGTGGTCCCCTCACTCCCTCCATGCTCCCCACTCATAGGGACCAGGGTTCGCCCTCCCCCAAGTCACTTCCTGTTTTTGTCTGGCAGCCTAGTACAGTCTACGTGGGGTGCAAGGGGTTAAATTTCAGCACTATGAAGCTATCACAGCCACTGCAGCAGGAGTTTGACGCCAGCCAGGAGCTGACCCACAGGGCACAGCAGCAGACCTCTCCTGTTTCCCCTGTGCTCCCCTCAGCAGGGTATTTCTGTCAATCTGCCTGTTCGGCTCCCCACTCACTGTCTCTGGTGAATCCTCTCATCCCACCCCCCTCCCCTCTGGGCTACACCCCAACTCTTGCATGCATTCATGCATAAATATATATATTTATAAAAAAGACAAGCTATCTGGTCCCAGGTGTGGAGAGGGACTGGACCCCAACTCCTGCGTCTAAGGGAGAGAAATGGTCTTCCCCCACCAACCCTGAGCCTGGGGGGGAAAGGGGCTGGGGCCTGGACTCCTGGGTCTGAGGGAGGAGGGGCTGGGGCCTGGACCCCTGGGTCCCAGGGAGGAGGAAGGGAAGTCCAGTGAGATCCCATGACTCCTGCCAGACTTGCAGTTGGGAAGGATTTATTATCACTAAGTGGCCATGACAGAGCAGAGGAGGGGGGGGTCGGTAACTAACAAGGCTGCTGCAATCAGCTCCCCTAGAGGCAGCGATTAATAGCTCATTACACATGGGGGTGGGGGGGTGGAGAAAGCAGCAGGGGAAGGACTGAGTTAGGGTGTGTGGAGGGAATAAGACAGTCAAGAGGGAAGAAGAACAACTTCCTCCAAGGGGGAAGTTGACTGAGGACCTCCCAGGAAAGATTGTGAAAAGAGCTGTGGGGTGCAGGGAGATAGGCATCGAGCTTGGCAGGCGGGCTGCCCCCTGGTCAGGGCTTCTCCAGCTGGACGTCTCCGATGTGGAGGCTGCCCACATCCTGGTAGGTGCCCTGGAGGCCACGGGAGATGTCCTCGTACATGGAGCAGTCATCGAGGTTCAGGCCCTGGAGTGGACAGGTGGTGCTGGCCTCAGCGCCTGGAGGCCTGGGGGTCCCTGTCCCCCCCACCCCCGCCAGCCCAGGGAGGAATAACCCGAGGAGATCTGCCCTCACCTGCCCCCCACTTGCCACTCACCTCATAAAGATTTTCATCCTCATAGTCTTCCCGGGTATCCATCTCGAACTTCAGGTTCTGCCATCGTTTCTATCAGGGGAGAGGACACCTCAGTTAGGGGGTGGGGTGTAGGGGGATATGCGCAGACCCTCCTGAGTTCCAGGAGGTGCTTTATCCAGAGCGGCCCACGTGCCCGAAGCGTGAAGCTAGGTAGCTGGGAAGTGCAGTGGTCTCTGGTCCAGGCCAGGGCTCCCTGCCTCCATTCTCTGGGAATGACAGTACCAGTGACCCCAAGAGAAGCTGGTGCAGCGTAGAGACTCTGGCAGGACACCAGCCCCCCTGCTCCCTGGCCTGAGGGTGGAGAGTGAGATGCGTGGGGAGGAGGGTGAGGCCTTGTCCTCTGGGCTCAGTACTACTTAATACCTTTCATTGTATCACTTCCTTCAGCCCACAGCCCCAGCCAGTGGGTGATTCATTCTCCCCTTCAGGGTGGGGTGCTCAGGCCCTGAGGGCGTGGCTCCCCAGGAGGGCTCACCCTGAACAGCAGCAGCATCCCAGGCACCACAGCGCTGACCAGCAGGATGATCCCCTCCGCGGTGATGATGTTGTTCTTGGTGCCCTCCCCCATGTCCAGGAAGGGTCTGGGGAGCGGCTCTGTGGGGAGAGGTGTGGCTTGGGCTCTGGCACCTCTGCTCCCACCTGTCCGTGCCCCCACCTCCCACCCCAGACTGAGAACCCTGCTGAGAACCCTCACTCTGCAGGTGAGAGGAAGGGGCCCTGCAGGAGCTGGGGACTGGCCCTGGGGGCAGGCCCTGGCACTCACCTTGCACTCGGAGGTAGGTGCCACAGGAGCGCTGGGTCTGGTTCCCCTCCTCCACCTGGCAGTGGTACAAGCCCCGGTGGCTCTTGTTCACCTGGTGGATGATCAGCTCCTCGTCTGTGCTCTCCAGAAGTTTCGCGGGCCAGCTGTAGTTGCTTTGCAGGGTGATCCACCAGGTGACTTTGGGCCGGCTGTGGGGTGTGCTGGCTTGGTGTGAGCACTGGAGGTGGGCCTTCTCCCCCAACCTCACAGTCAGGGAGGGTAGGCCCGGGTCCACCCGCAGAGCCTGGCCCCAGGGGCCTGTGGAGAGGTGGGTGTGTCAGCCTCTGCTCAGGGCACTGGCCAGCCCTGTCCCTTTCAGCTGCAGCACCCCTGGGTATGTATGTGGACTCCTGGGGCAGGAATGAGGATGCTCCTGGTGGCAGTGATGCATCTTTGGGGGATGCACTTAGGGAGTGAGCACAGTGAAGATACTAAGTTACGGCTGGGAAGGACAGAGAGCTCTGAGGGAGAGTGAATACTCCTTGGGCTTAGGGGGGTGGTGAGGACATGGGGTGTGTGTGGGGAGAGTAAGGCCCGCCTGGGGCGGTGCCATGCCCCTGGGCATCCCCACTGGCCTCTGCAGCACTGTCTCTTGCCACCCTCCGCACACCCACTGTGAACTCTCTGGCGTTTGGAACCTGGCTCCCTCGAGCTAGAAGTGCCCCCCACAGGCACCCCCTCACCCTGGAGGCCTTCCTGGACCCCTTATCTGTCCCCAGCCCCAGCTGGTCCTGTACAGGCACCGGATCGTGAGTGATCTCACAGAACCCTTCCAAGCAGGCTTATGGTCATTCCTGTTTTGCAGGTGGAATGGCTGAGTCCCAGGGTGGCAGGCTGGCTGCCTGGCATCCCCAGGGCAGCAGGAGTCTGGGGTGGGGGGCTCAAACTCAATCGCGGCCCCTGGGGCCTTTCCTGCCAGCTTTGGGCCTTACTCGCTCCATGTCCTGGGCCTTCCCCTCCTTCTCATGAACTTTCAGTTGTCAACTTGGGGGTTGGGGGGAGTTGGTCCCTGGGTTAGA